CCTACTTTTTATCTTTTCGAGCCGGAGCCCCAGTAACCCATTAAGTCCTCCACGGGTCCGTATTGGCATCAGCCCTACTGGGCCCCATCTGTGGAGGTATGCTGGCTCTTTGTCTCGCTTGCAACGCCTGGGGCGTGGTGATGTTCGTTACCTCACGCGCCTTCCCTCTTTCTTAGCTAGCATGACTGCTTCGCAGATGGAGGAGACGGCATCCCAGTCCCCGTTGCTCCGTACCATCGTCTGAACCAGATCCGGACGTGAGAGGTCCCTGTCGCAGATTAGGTACATCCCACGCAGGACACACCGCCACCGTATGCTCCACCGTGTCCTCCACGCAGTGTTGATACCCGGGCGTTTCCTTGCGCTGTAGTTTTGCTGGAATATTTTCAGAGAGTTTTATAAAATTCAACACAGTTTTCTATGATTTAGGTGTGCCTAGACAGTTGTTTTTGTAAAATAATGATTTTTGCATTTACGAAAATGAATTGTGTCTGTTACAGGCTTTCGAAATATTGTATAATCATAATTTTGCATAATATTTTTTTTTTTGGGTTTGAAGGAGGTATCTTCCGCTTGTTTTACCTATTCACTTGGCTCAATTAGACTGAAATATACATTTTAGATTGCCTAAAAAGTCATATCGTTCTCCGAATATTTTGAATACTAAATTATTTGAAACTAGCTTTTACCCGCGGCTTCGCTCGCGTCTCAAAAGAATAAAAGGTAGCCTATGTGACATATACCAATACACACAGCGCCATCTATACCAATACTTTTGTTTTTTCTCGGGAATATAATTTTTTTCCGGGTTAAAAAGTACCCTATTATTCAATCCGGACTTCTAACTTTACGTCTGCAAAAATTCAAAGCAATCGGTTGAGTAGTTACGGCGTGAAGGTGGAACAAACAAACAAACTCACTTTCAGATTTATAATATTAGTAAGGATTGACAAGACAAGTATCTTTGCAAAAATTATATCACTACTCAACAGAATTAATTAATTAATATTAAAATGATATAAATCTACGCTTCACCTTCTTTATGAAAATGTTGTACAAAATTGGAACATCCTATATTTATGAATGAGCAGAAAGTAATCTTATACCATGCGAAAGTATATTTTATATTAAAGCTCCAGTCTGTGATAAGTTAGCTATACTCTAATACCTACATATAGTATAGCTAAATCTATGACTTAATATATTTAAAAATATTGAATAAGACGGGTAAACTCACTCCGGCCCTGACAGACAAAAAATGAAACACTGCGTGTTCTCAAGGATTCATATTAGTATTCAACCCTGGGTAATTAGATTTATGATAGGTCTTTATATTAATTAGGATAGGAGAGATTCCAAATATTTCACTCAGTAGTCAAGAAATCCTCCTAACATTCGTTCCCGCTCTGATGACGAAATCCTCATGGAGTTTCTCCGTCTGGGGAAACGCGGAGGGACGTGTCACGTGCCGGACTCTTACCGGCCAAAACCACCCCCCAGTATGAGTCCGCCCGCGCGCGGCGTCACTTGTACTATGTTCATAATTATATCCTACTAGTTCCTGCGCGCAGCTTCGCTCGCGTTCCTGGAGGTATAAAATAGCCTATGGAGGAATACCTCCATAATCTACTTATACTTATGTTCTATGACTGTGACTGAGTAACACACATACACACATACACACATACACACATACACACATACACACGAACACACAATCTCCAAAATTTCGCCTTTTTAGTAGCGGTTCAAGCTGTTTCATTCGTCTAGGGATCGAGCCGCACAATTAAGTTTGTTTTTAGTTTTTCGGGATAAAAAGTACGTAGTCCGTCAGTGTGATGCCCAGGATATTTAAGTATAATCCTAACCTAACCTACAGTACACAGTTCAAACTACACGGCGCACGCTACAAATACTTTGTTGCGTGATGCATGAACAGACAGACAACACTTTTTTTATACATTTTTGGGTTCTGTGTCTATTTATTAACAGAATTTACACTTGCATAGTTTTATAACAAGTATAGACATTACTTACACATGTATATATGTCCCGGAGAATCTAACGGGTAACCGGGGCTCCGGCTCGACGTGCAGGAGAAGGAACGGGGTCGTTTTTATTTAGTAAGAGTCTGACACTCCCTCCCGCCTCACCCAGGCGGGAGCCAGTGACTCGATGATTTTCACATTAAAAAAAAAATTACGTGTATATATAGACTTAAGAGAGGTTGGTGAAAATGTTCGTTACTGTCGTTTAGTTACTATTACAATTTAGGACATTTACTAGTAGTCGAACATAAGGCGACCCGTACAGATGTCACAGTTCACACCTATTTCTGTCCGCAGGGTTTAAAGTAACGCAACGAATGGTCATACTCTTACCATTCTTACCTATCCGCCTTCCACGTCCGCACTGCTCCAGCCCAGCAATTAACTTGCCATTTATATTTGAATACTAACTTCTACCAGTGGCTTCGCCCGCGATCCCAGGGGTAAAATGCCTATGTACCACTACAGACCATAATCTCCCTCTGTTCCCAATTTCATTCCGGTCCCTTCAGTCGGTTTGATATGACTGAGTAACAAACATATACACAAACACATAAACTCACATATTTTCACATTTATAATTCCGAATCAAGCTAATTTCAACCATCGGCCCTACAGATACAGCGTCTATGGATGGGAGGATGAGATGGGTATTGTAAAAGTGAAAGTCAAATTCAAAGCATTTATTTCAATTAAACCATAGTTTGGTGCTTTTGAAACGTCAACAAATACAAAATAAATAATAGTCTGTCAGTCAGTCCGTCAGTGAAACTAGGTGAAGCTAGGTGCTCATTCCAAAAAGTAGATTCGAATGGAGAAGAACGAGCAAGAAACTCCATTCGTTACTCTTTTTAAAAAGTATGTTCTACAATGTCTCTGATACATATTTCAATACTGTACGCATATGTAAGAACAATGCAAAGACACGCTTGACGCATTATACTAATAACTTACTAAAATTAAAAAAAAATAAAAATAAAAATTAACTTAAAGTCCAACATGGTGCTCACATATGCATACTGACAATCCATAGAATTAGTGCTTCTATACAAGAAAAGGAAACTCTAAACGTAAGAGTAAACAAATATAAGCAGAAAGCTCCGAACTGCTAAGCTATCGGGGTTACACGTGTTACTGTGAGTCAACCATAAAAGAGAGACGTGTGCTGTTGTGGGATATTATTTATATAATTTTATGTAGAACATTTTCGTTATACATGATTTCTATGTAGCTTTAACTATTAGGCCTGCTCACGCGTCGGAAGCTTAAACAAAGGAGTAACTTCTCCCGTTTTCCCAACACTTTCCTTCACTGCTCTGCTCCTATTGATTATAGCGTGATGGAACGTATACTATAACCTCCCCAGGAGTATGAAGAATAATTGTACCAAGTTTCGTTAAAATCTGTTGAGTATTTTTTATTTCTATAAGGAACATGCAGACAGACAGACAAAAATTTTACTGATTGCATTTTTAGCATATCGATCACTAATCACCCCCTGTTAGTTATTTTGGAAATATATTTCATGTACAGAATTGACCTCTCTACAGATTTATTATAGATTAAATCGTTCGTCGTCGAGTATTTCCTAACATCTATACAAAAAGCGCGGTCCGCGTGCTGACAGTGTATAGTTTTCAAAGCAACAAACGCCGTGTCGTTACTGTGTACGATGCCTACGGAAATATTAAAAAATATATTAATGGCGATGACCCTAACCCGATGTTCTGTGTTCTTTTTACCTTCGAGTCAATACAGAAACTTAAATCGAAATGAACAATTATCACAAAACTGTCAGACTTGTACCATTTACAGTTGTTAGAACTTACGTAGGCTTTATTGGACTTACCGTAACCGGGCCTTTACAGAGACATGAAGGTACAACCCGCGTTAGTAGCGCCACGTATTGTAATGAGGCTTCAAACATACTAACTCCAGGCGAGCCTTCGGTAGTGGATCGTTCATGCGGGGCCACGGAGTCGTGGCCGGCCCACACAGCTCGCACGATCTGTATATTTATACTGCCGGAGCCGCGGTCACTGTCAGGGTGCCCGCGCGGATATATTTACACTGCGCGAGTACTACGCGCCGATACTACGTCTCGTGCCCGCCCACGCAACCGCCCGCTCGTTGTGTCATTCATCTAATCGACTTATTTTTATTTTCCGGTTGATGTCCTTATTGATAACTTCCCCTTAAAGCATACATAATAAGTCAACAACTTGCGGGTGTGATGTACTTATGCCGACGTCAGCAAGAGTCTGACATCCACTCCCTGTCGCCTCACCCTAAAAAAGCGCAACTTTGAGCAGGAGCCCTAGTGGCGGGCCAGTGCGTTAGCTGCGCTGTAGTGACGCGACGGTTCAATTCAAACGACTCTTCATTTTATAGGTTTAATTCATGTTATATATAAACCTGAAGAGCATATTTGTTTGTTTGAAGGCCTAAACTCAGGAATTACATGTTCCATTTGAAAAAATATTTATTTTACTAATTACGCTACCAATATCAACAACCTTAACAGGTCACTGCTAACCAAAGGCCTCTTCTCACACGGAGACGGTTTGAACATTAATCACCACGCTTAATGACTACCTCGAGGGATGTTTAATGCAGAAGACAGAATGACTTAAGCAGTGGCATAGCAAACCTTGGCTCCGTATAAAGTATGTTTGTAGCAATTTTGTCATCGAAAATGAATACTTTGATGTCTTATAAAAGAGTTCGCGTTTACAACAGCTAGAACAGCGACATTTTATTAGATTTTTAGATAAATGTATTTTTTTAATTAGATGCTTATTGATTGTACCCACTGCCTTATTTCGTATGTAATTAAATTGCAGTTAGGGGACGCCGAAGAAATCTCACCGAGGGCGCTAGTAGTACTAAAATCGGCGCCGGAGATTGAAATGATGTACCTATGTATAATATGGAATTTTGTTGTGGCGGCAGGAGGCGAGCACCGCCAGCGGGCCGGACGAGGTGCGGCTGGACGAGGAGATGGAGCGCGTGGTGTGGGGCGACGCCGCGCCGCGCCTGCCCGCCGCCGCCGGCGAGCCGCGCCGCGACAGCGCCGCGCCGCCGCCCTACTCCGTGCGCGGTACCGCTCCACAATACAATTTTACATCAAAAAACCAAAAACTAATAACAAACAAAAAGTCTAAACTAAAAAGCAAAAAAAATAACTATTATTAGTACTGATAGGTTACCCACCCACTGATAGGTAAGAAGTCGGTGCCATAAGTTCCATACAAAATTATTCATTAAAACCTTAATAGGTAACAAATTCACAATTTTGTGGACAGTTATATCATTATGATATGAGCTTATGGCACCGACTTCTAACCTATCAGTGGGTGGGTAACCTATCAGTACTAATAATAGTTATTTTTTTTGCTTTTTAGTTTAGACTTTTTGTTTGTTATTAGTTTTTGGTTTTTTGAAGTCGGTTTTTTAAACGCAGTTTTTATTTTATTATTTTATCATTTTCAGTGTAAAGCTACATATACCCGTTTTGTTACTTATAATTTACATAGGTGCCAAGTTCTAATCAATACAAATTATACATGCCTAAACACAAGGTAGTTACAGTATACCGTTGAGGAGTTCCCTTAACAATTACACTTCTTCATCATCAGACCCTTAATGACAGCCCTACTCTATCTAAGTGTAAAGTCCTCGTCAATACAAATTAATCAAGCCCAAACACAAGGTAGTTATTGTATACCGTTGAGGAGTTCCCTTAGCAATTACACTTCTTCATCATCAGACCTTTAATGACAGCCCCACTCTATCTAGGTGTAAAGTCCTCATCAATACAAATTAATCAAGCCCAAACACAAGGTAGTTAGTATAAACCGCTGAGGAGTTCCCTCGACTGTCTATCGGCTCCATCATCAAGTCGACTCCAGACCCTTATCAAATTGTAGTGTTTAAAAATCCTAATTGAAAAACATAATAGACGCATCACTCGCCCATATAATTTTCGAAAGTTCCCCTCGGTTTCCCTAGGATCCCATCATCAGATCCTGACCTCATGGAAATGGGACCATCTTGGGAGTATACCCTTTCCAACAAAACAAAAATTTTGCAAATCGCTTCACGCATCCCAGAGTTATGCGCGTACATACATACAAAAAAAATAAAATAAAAAAAAAGCAACATACCGGCCGAACGTATAACCTCCTCCTTTTTTGAAGTCGGTTAAAAAGACCGAATGCTTATACACTAACCTAACCTAACCTACAGTACAGTGGGTCAGCTGTTTGTACTTTTTGATTTTGAGGAAACCGGCTGGTTGTCTTTATTACTCGTCGCATCTTCTTGGTGATGGATCATATACTTAGCTCGACTACCCGTACCTGGGCGTGTACGGTTAGGTTAGATAGTCTTTTACTTCAATTGTACTCATGCTCAATTATTAGCACTTTAGTAAACCTCTAAAATGTTTCAATTGACCTAAAGTCAGGGTTTATAAAAACTAGAACAACTATAAGAAACACACTTTTTGAAATATATTAACAGAGAGGACAATCGCTGTAGTTGGCCTTGGGCCCACCTCCCAGTACCAATATGATACCCCTCTACACATAAATATTCTTATGCAGAATAAAACTTTGTAATACGACCAAAGTCACAAATGTGTGGTGTCGAAGTTCTGTTCATACCTTTAAACGATTCTTGTGATAGGTAACTATGTATCAACTATCTCGGAAACGGCTTGAATCATTTTCTTAACATTGTGTATTCAGTGGGTTTTGGGGGCGATAAATCGATCTAGCTAGGTTTCATTTCATCAGAAAATGTCGTTTACTGAGACACCGAGTTTATAATTTTGATAACAAGAAAGTAATCACAATCTAAGCAATTACTCATTGTTTACATCCCCACTACTTATACCAACACCAACCTCGGCAAGCAAAGCTTAACCTTAGACAACGACTCGTATGCGCGCCGTAATCGCATATCGTGTGTCGAATAAACGCTTTTTCTTTCTTTCTGACATTATTCAGCAACGAGTCTCTCTACTCTCCTATATCATTCTAGTATTAGGCACAAAGAGAATCTAAAAGGATAATAGTATAAAAATCTTATAACATCTCAACTCAATCCAGAATACAGAATACCGGTCAAATGTACTATTCTACCTTAGAATTTAATAGGAATATTAATAACTTTTGTTACATTTAAAAAACCCTATCGCACGGTATATTTATCATATATGTTGGTATTAAGGTGTGGGCCCAGACTCCATACAGTTGTGTCGCACTGTCCTTTGTAAGGTATTCAGATTGGTCAACAGGTAGAATCGCCCTGTCTACAAGTTGTCGGTGGCCACACCATGCAAGTAATGCCTTGCCCGGTCTTCTCTTGGCCTGCTGCGGCCATAACTTCCCATACACCTAAAGCTGCGTCAATTACAATTGTCATGTATAAAACTCATTCTAAGAATTATTTGTATTAGGCTTCATTCAGAAAGCCGGTAAACATTGCGTGACAATGCGTTTCACTAGCTTTTGCTCACGACTTCGTCCGTGGAATAATGACTACTGGTATGGAATTTTGGTTTTTGAATTAGTATTTCCGAAAACATATTTTGCGACTGTAACATACGTCGTCAAAATCGAATCAGCACCTAAGTTATGTTTATTGAATATAACATAGTTCCCATTCTCGTGGGATTCTCTCCCCTAAGGGGGGAATTTCTAAAAATCTCTTAGTACAGTAGTTTTTTGAGGGGTGTAAACTACTACACCCCTCATCAAACACACATGCCAAATTTCCCTTGGTTAGTCCCTTGGCTTCCTTCCCTTTCGTGCCCAACGCATGGCTCTCCGACACCTCCATAGTTGTAAAAAACTTACTGAAAATACACATACATATTTTTTTAACTTTGACTATAAAATATCTGCACTTTTATATTGTACCAGCAGCTAGTTCCTCGGGATTTCACAAGCTGCCGCGCTGGTCGGGTGCAATCACAGAAATATTAAAAAAAAAACTTTTATTATATCTGTGGCTGCAATAGATCGAAGCGTGATGTTTTACATCACATCACTCACTCATCACTTACCTCAATAAATGAAATATCCGGTATATTTCATCAGAGAAATAATTTTATATTGAAAAATCACCCCACAAGCAACCAACGCGAATGTTTGGACTTGGATTTTTTTAATTCTGCATGCCTATGCCATGCCATGCCCTGTTCACTAAATAGCGATTTCGTACAGATGGCGTGACTTCGAGCAGCTCCGAGCTGTCGCAGCCGCCAGTCAGCACCGGCTCCGAGCAGCAGGTGAGTGTGAGCACCGTACCGCCACCACGCCGCCACCGCGCCACCACCTCGCGGCCTCGCTGAAGGTCGAGTGGGCCTGGCCCGCGCCTCGCTCCACCGCGCAATACAATGTAGATATATATCGACACGCACCCTACTACAACTAAGGATTGTTTACAACAAAGTGTAGTCCGGGCAGCATGTGGCACTGTGTGAGTGGCGCGAGCGTGTGTGGCAGGCTCGGGGCGCTGGCGGTGCAGTGTAATGAGGTGTGTTGTGTTGTGCTGTGCAGACATCGGGCGGCGCGTGGTCCGGCTCGGGCTCCGGCGGCAGTCCGCGAGATGCCGACGAGCGGCACGTGCAGTTCGACGGCGAGCGCGCCGAGCGGCCCGACCTCGCAGACACTTTAGACGACGCCGACGAGGAGCGCCGAGCACAGCGTAACATGTGAGTCCTATCATAATCCTGCCTAGAGCTGCTGCAGCGTCCTCAAAATGTTTCCGTCCCCAAACTGTTGTGAATCGTGCTGATATTCACTCTAGTGTCGTAGACTCGTAGTGGAACAGATATCATCTGTGCTTAGCTTCCTGCCAATGTGGCATGTTGGCATACTCAAACCTAAGTAAATATGTGCCTACAACGTACATATATCATATAAGGTATAGTGGCCAAAGAAGGCCTACTTCCTGAGATGGCTCACTTTAAAATAAATACAGATATGATCTACCGAAACATTTAAAACTTCGCAGATGTATGCTGTTAGCGCCCTAAACAAAAGTTCAACTGGTTTTCATAACCGGCGCATCGCCATTTTAAATTCAGACGACATTTTGGTTGGTCCTGTCAAAACAATACCCGATTTATAAAATTCATTATCTTAATAAAAATTATCAATTTTAAAATAAACTTTTTTCTTTAAACAGTATATATCTTAAATAATCTATTTCACAGCGAATTAGTGTGCGAGCTTTATTATATTTTCGTTTCGTATGTTTGCGAGACTTTATTTCAAATCTCCTGAGATGGCACACAGTGTGGTTCACTTATTCACTAAGATGAATGGCACAAAAACAACAGTTTATTGTTAAACGTGAAATTTAGTTTTATTTTGTAGTTTTTTTATTTGATGGTTGATTTTTATTTTCATAGACTAATGTTATATGAAGGATATCTTTTTATTACAAAGTTATACGTTAGCAGTATATACATACGCGACTATTTCTAAGTTTTTTTTTTTATTTATTTATAAACTATATACATACTACTATCATAACAGGAACTAATACCTAATGCAATAGTGTATGCCAATATTAATAGAATTAAATTACAAAGTCTAATTTTACAATTTGGTACTACAACATTTATAACTATGGTAACAAACATATTCCTTAGGCTAAGGTCCAGTTTCACCATCCCCTGTTAAATATTTAAAGTATTGTTAAGTCAGTTAACGGGCTGTTAAAGTTATCGAGTGTCCCACCACGAGTTAACGCGCTTTTATTTGTCATAACAAGCTGTTAAATTTAATCACCGCTCTAGACGTCCGTTAGACCGTAACAGACAATTAAAATCGAGATGGAGGCTGCATACAATTTCATATTCGAAAATAATATTTTAGATTATTTAGATTACTTTAGACACAATAGTACGACGTCCAAGAATTTTTAAAGAACGGCGTTCTTATTTCGACGAATACGACGATGTAGATTTTTGTACCAGATTCCGTTTATCTAAAGAAACAACCCTTTTTTTTTTTTAAGGGGGGAAAATCATCGAATGACTGCTCCCGCCTGGGTGAGGCGGAAGGGAGTGTCAGACTCTTACTGACTAAAAACCACCCCGTTCCTTCTCCTGCACGTCGAGCCGGAGCCCCGGTTACCCGTTAGGTTCTCCGCGACTCCGAATCGGCATCGGCCCTATTGGGCCCCATCTGTGGTGGTCTGATGGCTCTTTGAGGCGCGCGCGGAACGCGACGCGCCGTACGCTTGGGTCTGTTTCTGGTCGGACGGGGAGCCACCCATGCTCGCCGTCCGCAGGCCCGCGCTTACGGTGGCCGGAGATCGTCCCGCGATCCCCGACGCCCGGTGTGTCCTTCGCGATGGCTGGGTTGCGAGGAGGCAGCGCTTCGCTGCCTCACGCGTCCTGCCTCCTCCTTAGCTAGCATGACTGCTTCGCAAAAGGAGGAGACGGCATCCCAGTCCCCCTCGCTCCGCATCATGGCCTGCACTAGGCCCGGACGCGAGAGGTCGCCATCGCCGATCACTTCCCTGAGGGCACGGCGGTGCTCAGCCCACGCAGGGCATTCCGCTACGGTGTGTTCCACCGTGTCTCAGGGCGGTCCTCGCAGTGATAACACCCAGGCGTTTCCTCCCGCCCCATCAGACACAGGTACCTCCCGAAACTTCCATGTCCGGTGAGGACCTGCGTCAGGCGGTAGGTGAGGACGCCGTAGCGTCTCTCAAGCCACTCCTCAAAGAGGGGTCTTACCGCTGCAATGGCAGCGAGCCCAAAAGAAACAACCCTAGATATTCTGCAGTTGATTGAAGATAAATTGGAATATCCATCAGATCGGTAAGTTTATATATTTGGTCGTATTAGTTAGGTGCCTAAAATTATTTTCAATAAGTAATTGTACGTATGTGCAATTACCTCGCACCAGTATAAAACAAACCTAAGCTATCCTTAATTTTGTTTCAGGAATGAATCAAATTCTCCCATTAATCAAATTCTTTTGACCTTGAGGTATTATGCAACTGGCTCTCAACAAATAACAGTGGGAGATTATTGTGGGATAAGTAAGTCGTCATCTCATAGAATAATACACAGGGTCACTGCTGCAATAGCCTCCCTTAGCCCCAAATTTATCCAATTCCCTAATACTGAGGAAGAAATAAGAAAAACTCAGTTGAGTTTTTAAATTTGAAATTAAAATTGAACTCGTTTGAAATTGGTCGCGTAGCACAACTAATGACGTATTATACGACTAGATAAAATATTACCGAACTCGGTCTAAATAACATGTCACAAAAAACCATTTCAATTTGGTTGCTTAAAATAAGAGTGAACAACTTACAAGTCGTTCAGTTAAATATACAGTTTAATAACGGCTTGTTACTTTTTTCTCGTGGGACATACAATGATAAAACAGCCCGTTAATTATTAACAACTCATTAGTTAATGACTAATTAGGATTTAACAAACACAGTTTGGTGAAACTGGACCTAAGTCACAGATGGGTACAGGTACAGTAACAGGCTCTTCTGAATTCGTTCAGTGTACAATAAAATAAGTCAATGTATTCTGACATCACATTGAGCGTCCGCAGCGCCCGCGTCAGGGGCGCGCGATACCAAATTGTCAAAAAGTGTTTCAAATTGTATGAAAATGGCAAAAACTTCAAAAAATAAGGTTCTTTGTTTGACCTGTATTTATGTAGTAGGTATGTATATGTATGTTTGACTATGAGCCGCAACAAAATAATGCGGTTTTCAGAAAAGTGATTACACTGAAGTCTTTACTTTACTTTAATAATGTATTAAAACTTCAAAAAAAAAGGAGGTTGAAGTCGGTTTTTAATCGTAGTTTATAAATAATAAGAACAAAAAGTTTGTAAGTATCGAGAACTGCTTTTGCTGGGAGTTAATAGGTACTATTGGATAATTACCTTGATTAAAAAATAACTTACAATATGCTTTTTCTCTACTTCATTTATTTTGAAAGATTTTGAAATAAGTTGTGCCTCATTGGGCGACTGTACCTTATGCCATAACATCAATTTTCGTTAAAGCCTGAGTCGAATTAAATATCACTGTGGAGTGTGTGCATGTGCGGTAGATTGTATGTAGTGACGTTTGCTATAATACTGTAATGTTGGTCTGACGTATAACACATTCTCGATTAGTAAACACATTTAGCAGATACTTCAACACTCCACGTTGTTTATGTTTTGCGTGAGATTGCGGGTAAAACAGATAGTGGGCGCAGATGTAGCTCTCTCGAGCTGGCTTATTGTGTCGGGGGAGCACTGAGCACTGTGCATGTGTACAGACAAGCAACATTATAATTAGACGCACGTGCGAGCACGCGTGCGCGGCACGTGCGGGGCTCCCGGCTCGGCCGCTGGCTGCGGCGTGCTGGCCGGCTGGCGCGCACTGCTGGGCTGGTCTGCACACAAAGCGCGCGTTCGCGGAAGTGATACCTGGGTTTGGTGATGTGACAAAAATAGTAGTTGGTCTCGTGACATTGGCAGAGCGCGCGGCGGCGGGTGGCGCGCGCTCAGTCCGCGCCGGCCGCCATGCCCGTCACGTATACGCGCGCCTCGCAGCTGGCGCACCAGCGGTGAGCCCCAGTGTGCAGTCAGTGTTCAGCGCCCGCCACTGCTTGTCCATGCATTACTCACATTTATCCATTGTCCGACATTGTATGGGAATTATTCTTTGAGCGGCGTTTGTCTTAGGTTTCAGCGACCGGACACTCAGTTACCTGTCCCCACAGATATATCACTTGTGGCTTCTGGCCAGAACACGAAATCGACTTCAGACATTTTGGCTATAGTTCTAGTAATATATTAGAAATTGAATATTAATTACGAACTTGCAACAAATACAGCAAAATTATAGTTATTTAAGAAAGTCATTATTTAAGATCCCATTTCTTTAAGTAATTGTTCAATTATTATCTGTGTGTAGTATGGGTACACATACACAGTCAAAACATTTCAAACTTAGGATGCTCAATTCGCCTATACATTATACGGATCATATTTACGGCGACCTGTCTGTCACCTGTCTGGAGATGCGTTGTGTACCTGTATACCTGTCCGAGTGAGGTTATGTATCTGTGTGACTTCTTTAGGGAGAATCTCAGGTTACGGTGGGCTTATTTTGGTCCAGTTTAACCCCACTAAGGCACAGGTCTGCGTGACCAACGTTGATCGGTTGGGTGGTCTCTCCTCAGTTTCAAAGCCCATAACTGCCTCAGCCGGTAATGGAATAGTTAGCATCGACATCTCGGGTGACGTCCAGTTCCGCGGCCATCTTATCTTATCGAAGAAGCTTGCTGTGCTTAACGTCATGGCAGTATTTGACCCCGGCCCATCGCCTGCTATAAGTCGTAGTTTTGACTCTATATGGAATACCGGCGTGATATGGCGAAGGCGCCCGATTCGAATCGTTTCAGGATATTTCAAACCAGCTAGATACTTGCGACGAGTAAATCAACGGAAAACAACATGAATCCTACATCGCACATGTGAAGTCATCCAAATTGACATGGATAGTCCCAACCCAAGGAGCTACTGTTGGGCAGGGAGCCTGCCAGGCCCGGTCGCCTCGCCTGGTCGGAGGATGCTCCTTATTTTAAGGACCTTTACTCAGTGTTCCCTAAAACTTCGATCTTGTTTAACGTAAAACAAACTTGTAGTATCTCTGAAATTATAATCATCGAGC